ACAGAGGCAGCCTCCTGCATGTACTCCTGCAGGGAGACATTCTTTCTGATTGTTTAGGCTCCCTCTGTTTATAGATAACGTGTCCTCTCTGTGTCCTTTGCAAAAAGGATGGGGTTGGGAGTCCTCTGAGGACCAGTGAGCAACTACTTTCCCTCCGCATATTTACCAGCTGGTGCCTATCCTACTCTTGTCGGCCTTGCCATTTGCCTTCCCTGCACATTCAAAGCTCTATATGTGACACCATCACTATCCACAGGGAGTGTACCACCAAGGGCATGTAGAGCGGTGGAGGAGAGCATCAGATCTAGAGCTCTAGGCTACCTGGGTTGGTATACCAACTTTAGTACAGACTCAGTAGCTGCAGGACCTTGGGTAAGTTACTTATGTTCCATAACCATTCATGTTTCATAGGACTGCTCTTTTGAGGATCAAGTAAATAAATGACACCTGCCATGTGGTTTGGACATTCTCAACTAGTTACAATCATTAAGGTGGTCTCCTGTCATGGCTAAGGGTCCAGACTCCAGGTCCCATTGGCCTGGATTCAAATCCTAGCTCTTTCGTTTACTTAGCTGCATGACTTTGCTTTAGTTACTCTGCATCTTAGTTTCTACAATACAACTGGAAAATGAAAATAGTGTGAGAAATAAATGGCTAGGAAATATAAAGCACTTAGGTGAGTGCCTGAGTGACCTCTGACCTATGGTAATACTCTGTAAATGTTACCACTATCATCAACTCATATTTCCTCAAAGTCATATCTCCTTCTCATGTTATCTTAGATTTGACCCCTTCTTGTCTAGTCAAGGCTGCATGGATTGTCCTGGAATGACTCCAAGATTTTCAGACCAGATTTATGATTGCAGCACCTGGAAGGTGCTCTGTGGATGCCCCTAAAGGGCAACACACACTGGCGTGCACTAACTACTTTTGGCCTAACAAGAGGAAGATTTCCTATCATTAGAGGCGGTCAGCAGTTGAATGAACCACCATCTAGGCAAGAGTTAGATGATGTCTATGCTGGACCACGTATGTTGTGGATAGGATTCATGAATTCCATGGAAGATTGAGCTATGTGAGATCTAGAGTTTCTTCTGCTTTTAAGTTTCTGTGACTCACGAAAAGTAAAATTAGTTATTTCCAAGGAAAGCATTAGACAAAATTCACATACCTGTTTCAACCAAGTGTGAAAATAAAGAATGGAGCTCAAAAAGGGGGAACTCAGCAGTATCTCTTTATTGTGTGATTCCAATCTACTAGCCTTACCTTCTCTCTCTGGAGGCTGCCATAGTAGGTACTTATTAACCAGGTCAGGCATAAATCATAAAGACATCATACATCCGGATGTATAACACAACATGAACCTTAATCTCTGCCAGCGAGGGCACGGCAGGGAGCATCACTTGGCTGGGAGTCCATATCAGATTGAGCTATATTGTGGGCATGAAATGCCAAGTCTGAGAGAGATTTGAGTACAGAACAGTTCGGCAATATGAGATCTGAACGGCATCTGGGAGCCAAGGTCCAAGAAGCCATTAGGAGTGATGTGGCTGATCCTGAGCAAAGGTTTCCTGCCATCTAAGAGGGTAAGCTGCAGAGCAGAGCAGTGCCAGGAAATGTAAAATGCATTTTTCATGGGGTGGGAGTAGATTTTAGCAGCCTGGCCTTCAGAGTGCACCACTATTCCTGTGCTCGGTTCACACGAACAGCCACAGCTGTGCTGTTCTATTCTGTGGCATGATTGCATTGGGAATGAAGGGATGGAGGAGGCTTAATTACCTTCAGGATCTCTTTAAGAAACTGACATCAAAATTAAATGCCAAGAAAATAGGTGCAAGACTTTCAAAGACACCCTGAATGAAGCTTAATCTATAGTAACTTGATGGTAATTCCACCTCTACTCACCCCTCCCTTATCATCCTTGTTTGATGGGATCCTGCCAGGATTCAAGAATTGTTCAATAAAGCCAATTAGATCTTTAAATGCACTCAGTTGAATTTTTGTTCTTTTTTTAAAAAAAATTTTTTATTGATTTTTTTACAGAGAGGAAGAGAGAGGGACAGAGAGCTAGAAACATTGATGAGAGAGAAACATCGACCAGCTGCCTCCTACACACCCCCTACTGGGGATGTGCCCGCAACCCAGGTACATGCCTCTGACCAGAATCGAATCCGGGACCTCTCAGTCCACAGGCTGACACTCTATCACTGAGCCAAACCGGTTTCAGCTGAATTTTTGTTCTTTATACAACATATATGTCTCTCCCTCAGCCCCAAACTAAGCTTCAGTCTAAGTCATATTTGAATCTCCTGCTCTTTGTGTTCCCGGAAAGGGGACCTGGCCCTGAGTGTGTGGGTTCTGCCAGCAGTGTGTGGGTTATGACTTCACACAGAAAATATTACATAATACAAGTTCAAGTGATTTTGAGAGAACATTTATTAAAGCTGGGGACAGTAAAACAAGAAAGGGCCTAGGGTGGAAGAAACAAAAGGAGACCAGGTGGGCTGCTTTAGCTCTCTAAAAGTGTTATAGGAAAGAAATGGACCTAGGTCAATGGTCGGCAAACTCATTAGTCAACAGAGCCAAATATCAATAGTACGATGACTGAAATTTCTTTTGAGAGCTAGAAACTGACTTTTGCACATGGGCCACGAAGTTTCAATTGCACTGTATGTGTGCGCCCACACGTGGTATTTTGTGGAAGAGCCACACTCCAGGGGCCAAAGAGCTGCATGTGGCTCGCGAGCTGCAGTTTGCCGACCACTGACCTAGGTGGAGCAGCTGTCAGCTCATTGGAAAGGCAGAGAAATGGGGGCCTTGGAGGCAGGTTCAGGGGATTAGCCTGTGATGAGCTGCCACTGCCCATCGCTCCACTGGTTGCAAGTCCTGTAGGATGCCTTAGTTTAGGAGATGCACACCTGTCCGGGAAGAAGAAGAGGAAGAGCAAGGCTCAGATATGCTCCCAGGAGGTGTGTGCTGGATCCTTTGTTTTGCAGGTTTTAAAGTCTGGAAGTTAAGGGGAGGATCTCAATAGAATATTCATCAGCTTTTCCACATGTACCCTTTCAGGGTCATGGTCTCCACCAAGGGTCGGTGCCAAGACAAGGACCTAAGTTATTGTACATGGTCCTGGTGTCACCCACCTGGTTTTGCTGCTGAGGAGGTTAAGGTTCGATTTCCGGTCAAGGGCACATACCTGGATTGCAGGTTTGGGGTGAGTGCAGGAGGCAGCTCTGCTTAATACATAGAAACAAACACAGAGAAGCAGTCAAAACGTGGAGACAAAGAAACATGTCACAAATAAAAGAACAAAAGAAATCTCCAGAAAAGAATTAAATGAAATGGAGGCAAGCACACTACAGGATACAGAGTTCAAAATGGTGGTTCTAAAGTTGCTCAGTGATCTTAATGAGAGCTTCAAGGGACTCAATGAGAGATTGAAGGGACTTAGTGAGACTTACAAGGATCTTGTGAGAATGTCAAAGACATGAAAAAGAACCAGTCAGAAATTAAGCATACTCTATCTGAGGAAGCAAAAAAACACCCAATCAGAAGAGCAAAAAGAATAAAAAAAAATATGAAGTTAGTGTAGGGAGCCTCTGGGACAACATCAAGCGTACCAATAAGCATTATGGGGGTGTCAGAAGGAGAAGAGAGAGCGCAAGATATTGAAAACCTATTTGAAGAAATGACAGGAAACTCCCCCTTCCATCCACAGGCCAGCGCTCTATCCACTGAGCCAAACCTATAATTTCTTGTAACTAGGATTCTATAAATAGAACAAAGTTGGAATGGCACAATCAGAACATTCCATCACCAGGGTAACATTCAATGGACTGATCCACATGAGTGGACTTCAAATAGGCTTTGGATTGCTGCATGTGAAAGGTAATTTAAAATAAGGTACTTGAAGAAACAGTAATATATTTACTTGTGGTTTCACTTTTTTCGTGGTTTCAGTTAACTCACGGTCAGCCACAGTCCAAGACATTAAATAAAAAATTCCAGAGAGAGAGAGAGGAAGAAAGGAAGAGAGGGGAAAGAAGCCACATTCACATAGATTTTATTACAGTATATTGTTATAATTATGCTATTTTATTAGTGATTGTTATTAATCATTTACTTTGCCTAATTTGTAAATTAAAAATTTATTAGAGATTTATATGTACAAAAAAAATTGTATATATAGGGCTTAGTACTACCCAAAGTTTTAGGCATCCACTGGGGAGTTGGGGATCTTGGAATGTATCCCCCCAAGGACAAGGGAGGACTCTGTATACAGTAGATTCTCATTATTGTGGTACTTACGTTCTGTGAAGTTTCCCCAAACATTGACTTAGCAAATCCTGATGGAAGTACAGGATTAGGTTCCTGCCAGTCTCTCTGCTCACAACATTTTTGTTAACAGTCAATACATAACCTTGTTTTATGTGTGTTTCTGTACAGTTCTAACAAGCAAAATCTTCCTAACTACTCAACAACCTTTATACATTTTAAAATTTATGTTCTACTTTAGCCAATTCACTGTTGTTGTTTTTCTGTATTTGTTATAATAAAATTACTTTGGATATTTCTTGTGAAAGAAACATCCAAAATGTGAATTTGGTTGTTTTTGGATCAAGAGTGATTTTAGCTTTTCTACCTTATGCTTTTCTGTATTTTCTTTAAATTTTTTTTTTATAATCAGAAGAAATAACAAAATGCCCTAAAAGCAAGAATCAATGCATAGTATCTAAAAACCAAAATATATTCTTCTACTATATCCTTTTTAAACACCCCCCCCCAAGAAACATAAAAAATAAAAAGACATTAGAAAACAATAATGAAAAATTGAGTGAGCTGTGGGGTGGGGGCAGCAGTGGAGGTATAATGCAGGAGGAGAGTGAAGACTGGCTGACACCTGATTCTGAACAATACTGGCTTCTGGATCAATCAGGCAACTAACTGATGGTTTTTGTTTGTTTGTTTGTTTGTTTGTTTGTTTGTTTTTATTTGTTTGCAGGACACAAAGAAGCACCTCATGATTAGTCTGCCAGCATAATGACGTCTATAAACATAACCAATGAAACAATTATAAAACGCAAAGCCGATAGACAACGTCTCCTGAAAGAAATCAATGAAAAGCGTGAGTCCAACTGCTTGGTGGAAAGAAGCAATCAAGTCAGCTTACTGAGAGTTCAGAGGAGGCACTTCAGTGGTGCCTACCAGTGCCATATTTATAGCCAAACCAAAGAACCTGTGCCCGACAGTGGCAGGAGCTCCTGGGTCGAACTGAGTCTCATTGCTCACATAGAGAAGAAGCACTTCCCATCCAAACGTAAGATGTTGTGGGTAGGCTTCCCACCCAATCGACAGGAGGGAAAGATGCATACATTTAGGGAGAATTTCATAGTGATGTTCTGGGAGAGCTTAAAGGGCAACCTGTCTGAGGCATCAGTAAGCGAGACTAGTTAATGGAGATTCTCACTTTTTTTTTTGAAACTTGATCTCCTTGGGCCACAGGAAATACAGGTGAAGTGCATTTTTTAAAATATATTTTATTGATTTGTTTTTTATAGAGAGGAAGGGATAAGGATAGAGAGTTAGAAACATCGATGATAGAGAAACATCTATCAGCTGCCTTCTACACAACCTCCACTGGGGATCTAGCCTGCAACCAAGGTACATGCCATTGACTGGAATCAAACCCAGGACCCTTCAGTCCAAACAGGAGAGGGCATCATTTATCTTGTGCCTACAGAATCCCAGGCTCAACATCCAGGAGGCCTCATTTAATATAGGCTCTAGATGGGGTTTGGGGCCTGCATTCTCAGCAGGCTAAGGTGATTTTGATGCTGATGGCCTGAGAATCATATAATGAGAAAAGTTGTGATAGTTAATTCTAATAAACCACAACAACTTAGGAGGCCGCCTATCTCACCAATGTTCATTGCCTCTGCAAAAATTTCATGTGCAAAATTGAGATAAAATGGAAATTATTTTGATGACAAGTATTAAACAAAAAGCCCCAGAAACAATAAAATGTGGATGGAAGTTGGGATGACGGTATGCACTGGGGGTAGTATTTTGCAGGAGGAAGAAGAGGAACTGGTAGCTACCTTGATTGTGAATACTTGTTTCTAATTCAAGGCAAACAACCGATGATGTTTTTCTCCTTTATTTGAAAAAAAAAAAAAGAAAAGTAAAAGGAGAGTATAATTACAATGGATGTGGCAAAACATCCCAACCAAGCTCCATTAATTTTTGCCGAGTGACCAAAGATGTGTGTGGCCTTGCATTGTCATGATGGAATACAACACCTTTTCGATTTGTCAATTCAGGCCACTTTTCTTTAACTGCATTGTTTAATTTCGTTAGTTGTTCAATGTAGACATCAGAATTGATCGTTTGGTTGGGTGGTAAGAGTTCAAAGTAGACAATTCCTTTGTAATCCCACCAAACTGATAACAAAACCTTCTTTTGATGAATATCAGCTTTTGATGTTGTTTGAGTTGGTTCACCTGGCCTGCTCCACGATCTTTTCCACTTGATATTGTTGTAAACAACCCATTTTTCATCGCCAGTTATCAGTCGTTTTAAAAATGAATCATTTTCATTATGTTTCTTTAGCAAATCGCAGCTGCTAATGCGTTGCGTTAACTGTGATTCTTTCAGTTCGTGAGAAACCCATGTATTGAGTTTTTGAACATAGCCAAGTTGTTTTAAAATATATAATACAACCAACAAGTGATCCCGTTAGATCAGAAGCAAAAGAATCGCCATATTGGAGATTTGGAGGTTTAGTTTCTTTGATGAGGGGGCTGTGACTTTGCCTTTGACTGGAGCGCTCCTGGTAGGTGGTGTTGAGAAGATGAAACAGTAGGGCCTGGACAAGTGAGATTCTCCATTGTGTTTTAAAGTTAATCTGTAACAGGCAGGTGTTTATTTTACATTAAAAAGTAACTCGTTTAGGAGGAGGAATGCCTTTAGTGTTCCTAATTCTAAGTGTTACCTTTTATTCTGGTTGACTTACTTGGAGCTAGATGAGTTAAATCACAGGTAGTAGGTTAATTCTCACAAGTTTAATGGTGAACGTTAACATCCACTTCCTATGACATAGTTTACCGCTTTGCATGAATGTACATGGTTTTCTACAAAACAGAGTCTAGCAAGTACAATTCCCATCACCAACATTAATGATATAGAGGCTATAAGCCCACAATTCTGGAACATTAAAATAAACCTTTAAATACTGCAGAAAAGCTCCTTGTTCCTTTTAAGTGAACAGAGTTCAACAGAAACTCAACTTTATGATGACAAGATACTGGGTAAGTCTAGACCTAATGTAAATGTTATGGGAATCAGTATGTGAATCCATGGTCTTTCCTTAACGAGTCTAAACTAGTAGTTCTCAAAGGGTGCTCTGGGGATACTGGGGGCTTATTTTATTTTTATTTCCACAAGTGGAGAGTCCCTGGGTATTAGAAAAGGGTCCTGACACTTGTTTGAGTGTCTACTTTATTCTGAATACTGTTGAGGTTTGAAAAAGTCAACAGTAATTCCCTCCACTGAGAGATAGGTGGAGGTTAAAATGGTGACTTTGTTGCTGGAAAACAAATCTATACTGGAGGCATTGGCTTAAAAGCAGCCGAAGGTGAACTCACCCCAAAAGAGAACTTGGCCCAATCTAAACCAAGAATTTGGGCCTGCCACACTAAGACTGAGAGCACCCCCTTCCTGCAGAGGCCAGCAGATGCAACGAGAAAACCCTCATTTGTGAAACATTGCCTCCCAAATTTGATGCACATACAGTACTCTAGTAGATCCTCAACAAATGTGCAATGAATCAAATGATAAACATCATTAACTATAAAATAGCATCCCCTTTATTAGGATGGCCCTCTCCTGTCCTCCGCATGCTGAAAAAAAAAATCCTGGGCCCTCTTTCAGTACCTACCCTTGGTTTCTAGGTGATTTCCACCCAGACAGATTGCAGGTCGCTGCTCTGTTACAGGATTCAAAATCTCATTTCTACTCTGAGAACTCCCGCATTTCTATTTCTACCCTGACCTTTCTCCTGAGTTCTGGACACGTCTATCAGATTGCATTTATCAGATTGCCACCTCTCCTTGACGTTATGTGAAGTTTACCATCACCAAAACAGAATTCCTATCCTCTACCCCACAATCTCCTTACCCTTGACCCCTCCTCATCTCAGAAAATGGCCATATCGTGAGGAGTACCTTTGACTCTCTTTGTCTCACATCCCACATCCAATCTGTCAGGAAGTTCTGACAGCCCTTCCTTCAAAATCAGTCCTGAATCTGACGACTGATATCACCCAGATCCGACCCATGATCATCTCTCTTTCGAAGTACAGCAAGGACCTTACATCTGTTCCCCAGCCTCCGCTCTTGCCAGCTCCCACATTTATTTCTTCACACGACAGCCTGAGTGATTAAAACACACACACACACACACACACACACACACACACACACACACACACCTATGTTAGATTCTTCACTTGTTGCTCAAGACTCACCCATCATGTCACACCACACTGGATAAAATCCACACTGTATCCTGTGGGTGCTTATCTTTTCTGCCTTTTCTCTTCTACTCTCCCTGGCCTCATCCCACTTAGCCACCATGGTCTTCTTCCTGTTCCTGGGATGTACCACTCCGGTTCCCACCTCTCTCTCTCTCTCTCTCTCTCTCTCTCTCTCTCTCTCTCTCTCTCTCTCTGTCTCTCTTTCTCCCTCTCTCTCTTTCCTTCTCTCCTCCCCTCAATTTATTCAGATCTTCATTCAAAAGCCAATTCATCAGACTGAGGTTCAGTGCTTGAGTGGTGATCTATGAACCAGGAGGTTGCAGTTTCATTTCCTGTCAGGACGCATGCCCAGTTTGAGGTCTTAAAACCCAGTAGGGGCCGTGCAGAAGTCAGTCAACCTGATGATTCGCATCATTCATGTTTCTCTCTCTCTCTTTCTCTTCCTCTCTGAAATCAATAAAAAAATATTTTTTAAAAAGCCAATTCATCAGAAATCACCCTATCTACAATAAGTAAAACTTTCCAACATCCTACCACCCCTTTTCACGCTTTCTCTTCAGTTTTCCACTTAGAGGTGTGAACACCAAAAGAGGGGCAATCTTACTGAAAGACACTAGCCTTAAAAACGGAAAACTTGAGTATCTTAGTTTGGGCTGCGATAAAAAAAAAAAACCTCGTACACTGGTGGCTTAAATGACAAGTTTCTTCCTCACAGGTCTGGAGGATGGGAGCCTGAGATCAGAGTGTCAGGTCAGGTGCTTGGTGCTTGCTCTCTACCTGGTTTATAGAGGGCTACTTTCTGGCTATGTCCTCTCACATGGCAGAAGGAGCAAGCTAGTTCTCTGGCCTCTTCTTTTTAAAAAAAATATATTTTATTAATTTTTTACAGAGAGGAAGGGAGAGGGATGGAGAGTTAGAAACATCGATGACAGAGAAACATCAATCAGCTGCCTCCTGCACACTCCCTACAGCCTTCTGCACACTCCCTACTGGGTATGTGCCCGCAACCAAGGTAATGAATGCCCTTGACCAGAATCGAACCTGGGACCCTTGAGTCTGTAGGCCAATGCTCTATCCTAGGGGTGTCGAACTCAATCAGAGAAGGGGCCAAAATCTAAAATCCAGCCTAAATTGTGGGCCGAATAGTTTACTGAACAGTCTTAAACTGTCATTGTGATGGAAACGCAGCGGAGTGCAGTGATGACAGCGCGGTGCGGGCCACATTGCAAGGCCTGGCGGGACGGATTTGGCCCACGGGCCTTGTGTTTGACACATGTGCCTATCCACTGAGCCAAATAGGTTAGGGCTGGCCTCTTCTTATAATATAAAAGCACTAATCTCATTTGTGAGGGCTCTACTCTTATGACATAATCATCTCCCAAAGGCCCCACCTTCTAATGCCTTCTAATCACACTGGGATCAAGGTTTCAATATAGAATTTTATTGGGGGGAACACTGACGTTCAGTCCATTGCACTTGGGTTCATGTCCTGCATCTGCCATTGTCTAGTCCAGTGGTCGGCAAACTCATTAGTCAACAGAGCCAAATATCAACAGTACAATGATTGAAATTCCTTTGGAGAGCCAAATTTTTTAAACTTAAACTTCTTCTAATGTCACTTCTTCAAAATAGACTCGCCCAGGTCATGGTATTTTGTGGAAGAGCCACACTCAAGGGGCCAAAGAGCCGCATGTGACTCGTGAGCTGCAGTTTGCCGACCACAGGACTAGTCTTACGCTTTCAGTCACTTAGTGTTTCTAAACCTTACTTGCTGTATCTTTGAAACAGTATTCATCCTCTCTGCCCTCAGGGTTATTTAAGAAACTATGAAATGAATTATAAGTTATTTAACAAATACTTTTTTTTTCTTTTCAGATAATGCCATATTTGGATAAAGTGCATCCCCAGAGACACACAAAAATACCATCTCTTTATCCTTCTTCAGTATCTATTTACACTATTTACAAATGTTAATTATAAAAGAAGTCAAAATTATTTGCTAGGTCACCAAGGAAATACTTTGTTAAGTCATATAACATGTATTACATCTTCATCAATTTCATTCTATCAGTCATATTTTTGAAGGGATGAGTTATTAAATATACTTCCACCCAAGTTGGTGTGGCTCAGTTGGTTGAGTGTCGCCCTGTATGCTGAAAGGTTGAGGGTTTTGTTCCTGGTCAGGGCACATACCCACCTTTCAAAACCTGTGGGAAGCAACTGATAATGTTTCTCTCTCTCTTTCTCCCTTTCACTCTAAAATCAATAAAACTTTTTTTAAGTTAAAAAAAAAGATACTTTAAAATATATATCATCTAAAAGGTCCTCTACAGTAATCTCTTTATTAATTTAAAATGTTTAAATTGTTTGTTTCTATAAATTAGTGGAGTACATTGATCAACCTCACAAATCAAGCAGAAAGCTAAAGTCCTCAAAGTTAACAACTTGCTTCTACACTGAACTGCATGAACTCAGAGCTAGGATTTTGGTAATTTGACTAAGTACCTACTTGAGAGATTAACAAGGTGGAGCTTTTTTGTTTTATTTTATTGTCCATCCCCAAAGTGAGCATTGCTAGAATTACCTGTGTGTCATTCCTTCTTGGAAATTAGCAGACTAATTTTCAGATTTAGAGGTGGTGTTGGGTTCCTTTTTGCAGTTTGAGCCAATAGCCTGTTATTCCATATGGCAAACTGGGTACTGCTTGGCTTGGAACCCAGGTGCTGCTTTGCATTTGTATTTATATCAGTGAAATATTCACCTTTTGTTTGGTTGCCATTTCCCTCCATAGAAAGCTCAGATTCACAAGCCAAAGAATATTAATATCGGAAAGGATATGTGTCAGTCAATTGGCCTAAAACCATATCTCAGCTAGGACTGCACCAGGGCACAGTGGGGTAAGATTCATTGACCCTGAGAGTATATATTAAAAAGTGAGGCCCAAAGCTAATTTTTTGCTTCTCAAAAAAATTCCCGCAAAAAAACAAAAAACAAAACTCACACACACACACACACACACACACACACACACACAAAACAAACAAACAAACAAACAAAAAAACACCTTCCAGGGTTAAGAGCTGTGAAGGGTTAGTCTGCCACAGTTTCACGGGCATTAGTGACAGAAGACAGAAGAATCTTGGTCCAGAGGCAAAGGACTTTATTGCTCAGAGCACAGTGTTAACATAAAAACCTGCAAAGAATTTTTGTGAATTAATTTGAGCCAAACTGTCGACAGTTGCTGGAAAGCAGTATCTCAATGGATTGGGATAATGCTCTAGAGTAGGGGTGTCGAACTCAATCAGAGAAGGGGCCAAAATCTAAAATCCAGCCTAAATCGCAGGCCGAATGTTTTACTGAACAGTCATAAACTGTCATTGTGATGGAAACGCAGCGGAGTGCAGTGATGACAGCGCGGTACGGGCCACATTGCAAGGCCTGGCGGGACGGATTTGGCCCGCGGGCCTTGTGTTTGACACATGTGCTCTAGAGAATGGCAGTTTTTAAATCTATTTTTATACATTGCAATCAAAGGAGAGGACTTAGGTGGGTTACATGAAATCCATTGGTGGTAGGTTATAGAGGCGGGAGAAAGCAGAGGGGAGGGTGATGGACCTCTGGGACTGGATAAAAAGTAAAATGATGGATACATATTTATGCGGGTGCAGGGTAGTTAACAGTCAACAATTAACATGATAACAATAACAATGAAGGAATTTGTGGCATCTGTCCCGGCGCCCTCCACATTTGGTTGTGCCCCAAGGGATCCGGAAAAAGGGAAGGTACAATTTACCCAGACATTCCAAAGAGTATATTATCATAGATGCAAAAGACAGATAGGCTCAGTTAAGGTAAAGGTTGACCATATTAGTGAAGATACAGGCCTAGGATGTAACTACCCACCAAAAATGCTTTTAGTTAAAGTTTAATTTCAGGCCATCCTTTGTGGTTACTTTAGGTCTCTGAATTTGCAAGACTGCAATACAGGCCTCCCCTGAGCTTCTCCAGTTAGCATGTGGCCCTTTCTTCCACAACAGCAAGCAGCACAAGTCTCATGTTCTGATTGGTACCCTCTGCCCACCTCCACCCCCAACCGGCCCCAAATAATGTGAAGTCATCCAGACAGATGCCATACACACAGAGGCTTCACAGCTGAAAGTCTCTGCGCTTTGGAAACCCAACCTTTGTCCTGGCTGGTGTTTCTCAATGATTAGAGCATCAGCCTGTTCCTTGAAGGGTCTCAGGTCTAAGTCCCAGTCAAGAGCATATACTTGTGTTGCAGGTTCGATCAGCAGCACCCCTGTTGGAGTACATGCCAGAGGCAACCAATCGATGTGTCTCTCTCACATCTCTCTGTCTCCCTGTCTTGTTCTCTTTCCCCCTTCCTCATATTATCTATAAAAAAAAAAAATCAATGGAAAAAATATCCTTAGGTGAGAATTAACAAAAAATAAAAATAAAAGAAAGAAAAGAGAAAAGAAAGAAACCTAACTTTTGACTGGAGGAATAGATGCTCTCTATTATATTGTAGAATAAATAAACTTGCCCTCTGCTTCAGTGGGAGACATTATCTGTCTTCCAAAGCCCTTGGCTATATAAACATCCTTGAAGAGATCATCTGGGCCTTGGCTGGTAGTTCAGTTGGTTAGAGCTTCATCTTGATAGGTCAAGGTTTTGGGTTTGATCCCTGGTTAGAACACATGCAAGAATCAACCAATGAGTGCATAAATAAGTGGAACAATAAATTGATGTTTCTCTCTCTCTCTCTCTCTCTCTCTCTCTCTCTCTCTCTCTCTCTCTCTCTCTCTCTCTCTCTCTCTCTCTCTCTCTCCCCCCCCCCCCCCCATCTCACTCAATTGAAGATAATCTGGACCAAAAGCTGTCAGTGTCTCTGCCCCAGGGACACACAGAAATGTGAGACCTATGGAGAATTATCTCCCAACACTTAGCAGCCCACGTAAAGACTATCAAACACAGCATCATGTCTTTGGTTCGTTCTAAGATGAATCAGGGAATAAATACAAAGTAAATGAGTGTCAGGTTATGTATAATACACTTAACAACTTTCTAATCTTAATTCTCTATCCTCTTCTGCCTCCTCCCTCATGCGCCTCTGGTTTTATGGAACTACTTGCGGTTCTCTGCTTTATTCTCTTACCCCCCTTCACCTGGCTAACTTTCGTTTAAATACCACCTTCCCACGGAAGCTCTCCCTCCGCCTCCCCCTTAGGCGTTTCTACTTTGTCCCCCTCTATACTCCTCTTATCAGCCTCAGGCCAAAAACAGAAAGTCAGTCACAAAATTATCAATTTTGGACTCTGACCCTACCTGAAATCATAGTTAAGTCCAGACACCTCTCCACCCCTCCCAGGTGTGTTTTGGATTTGTGGATGCACCTGTTCCCTCAGTAGACATAGGGGGATGGGCTGACAAGCATTTCCCTCCATTGTTCCTCAGCCTCCCTGCAGAGCTGTCTGCGGTGAGTTCCCAAGTCAAGGCCACCAATGCCTGTGCAGAAAGGCCCTCTGTGGCATCCCTGGTATTCAGAGAGGCTAAGGTATGGCCTGCCATTGCCGCTGGAGCTACCAGCACCCAGTGCCTCTTCCCTGGAGAGTGTTTTGCAGGCCAGGGCGGGGGAAGCTGCATTTTAAAAAAATATATATTGATTTTTTACAGAGAAGAAGAGAAAGGGATAGAGGGCTAGAAACACTGATGGGAGAGAAACATTGATCAGCTGTCTCTTGCACACCCCCTACTGGGGATGTGCCCGCAATCAAGGTACAATACATGCCCTTGCCTGGACCTTTCAGTCCGCAGGCCGATGCTCTACCCACTGAGCCAAACCGGTTTTGGTGGAAGCTGCATTTCTTTGCTGGCATGGAAGATGTGTCCAGAGGGAAGGACCAGGCACAGTGGAAGATGAGCTCTGCCTCATAAAGTAAGAGGTTCCACAAATACAGAAAAAGTGAAGAAAAAGAATTTGGGCTGTCCCCAAATCAACACATATCCTTCTGCCACAGAATATCGTTCTAACATGCTTTCACAACATTGGTCACCATCTGCTATGGACTGGCAGTATCTTATCCCTTAAAATTAACCGGTATTTTGCTTCCTGGAAAGTGCTCCAGGCACTATCATGAGTCTCAGATTTCCTTCTCTTCCTTCCTCCTTTCCTTCTTTTCCCTAATGATCTCTTTGTGATAACTATGTCAGGGTATGAATTTCCTCATCAAGCAGGGTTCTTAAAGATACAAGCAACAGAAACTAAACTTGGCTAATTATTTAAAATATATATTCTATTGATTTTTTTACAGAGAGGAAAAGAAAGGGAGAGAATTAGAAACATCAATGAGAGAGAAACATCAATCAGCTGTCTCCTGCACATCCCCTACTGGGTACATGCCCTTGACCAAAATTGAACCTGGGACCCTTCAGTTCGCAGGCTGATGCTCTGTCCACTGAGCCAAACCAGTCAGGGCTAAATTTGGCTAATTAAAAAAAAAATTGCTGAAGGGTAATGGATAGTTTGTAAAATCTCCAGGAGGGTGGAAAAAACAATTCATACCACTGAACTAGAAGCATAAAGGCTCTACTAACAGCCTGTGGGCACAGACCCTGCAGCTAACAATGCCAACCTCACTAAGCTGTCATACTGCCACCCTCAGTCCTGGCTGCTTTATGTGACTCACTTCATTCAAAATCTAGGGTGAGCCCTAACTAATGTGGCTCAGTGGATAGATAGAGCGTCGGCCTGCGCACTGATAGGTCCCAGGTTCAATTCCAGTCAAGGGTACATACCTTGGTTTTGGGCACATTCCCAGTAGGAGGTGTGTAGGAGGCAGCTGATCGATATTTCTCTCCCATCGATGTTTCTAATTCTCTACCCCTCTCTCTTCCTCTCTGTAAAAAAAAATCAATAAAATATAGTTTAAAAAAAAAACAAAAAAACCCACAAAAAAAACCCCAGGTGGGTCATGTTATGGGTTCCCTGGTTTCAAGAAAGGCTAGAAAATGATTACCCATGGGAGCCACCCTTGCCAGAAAAAAAATGGTTTCAGTTCATATGGTGGTTCAGTTCCTGTGGAGCTAGGTTAGAAGCAGCAGTGATTCCCAGTCTTCTGCTAGGACTCTATTACTCGAAAAGCAGTGCAAGGTAGAATTAGAACCCATGGTTTCGGGTTCCAAGTTCAGTTTTATTTCCGAGACAAATATTTTTCACTCTGACCAGTTTGG